AAAACTCTAGAACAAAAAGATGCAAACTCACCCAGAAGGACTAGATGATAGGAAATAATCAAACTGAGAGTTGAATTAGTAAAATAGAAACAAAGAAAACAATACAAAGAATCAATGAGACAAAGAATTAATTCTTTGAGAATATCAACAAAATAGACAAACCTTTATCCAAACTAACCAAAAGGCAAAGAGCGAATATCCAAATTAACAAAATCAGGAATGGAAAGGGGACATAACAACAGACACAAAGGAAGTACAGAGACTCAACAGGCAATACTTCAAAAACCTGTACTCCACAAAAAGAAAAACTTAAAGGAAATGGACAATTTTCTGGATAAATAACACATACAAAAATTAAATCAAGACCAGCTAAACAAATTAAATAGACCTATAAGTGCTAAAGAAATAGAAACAGTCATCAAAAGTCTCCCAAACAGTAAAAGTCCAGTATCAGATGGTTTCAGTGCAGAATTCTTTCAGATTTTCAAAGAAGAAATACCAATATTGTTCAAATTGTTCCAAACAATAGAAACAGAAGGAATATTGCCAAACTCTTTTTATGAGGCTACAGTTACCCTGATACTCAAACCACATAATAAGACAACTAAGAAAGAGAATTACAGACCAATCTCACTCATGAACATTGATGCAAAAATACTCAACAAAATACTGGCAAACCGAATCCAAGAACACATCAGAAAAATCACCCACGATGACCAAAGGAGGCTTCATCCTAGAGATGCAGGGATGGTTCAACATACTAAAATCTATCAATGTAATCCACCATATAAACAAACTGAAGGAAAAAAAATCACACGATCAACCCATTAGATGCTGAAAAAGCCTTCAACAAAATTCAACACCCCTTCATGATAAAAGTCTTGGACAGAGCAGGTATACTAGGAACATACCTAAACATAATAAAAGCAATATACAGCAAGCCAACAGCCAACAGCCAACATCAAACTAAATGGAGAGAAACTCAAAGTGATCCCACTGAAAACAGAAATAAGGCAAGGCTGTCAACTCTCTCCATATCTATTCAATATGGTTCTTGAGGTCCTAGCTAAAGCAATAAGACAACAAAAGGAAATTAAGGGGAAACAAATTGGAAAAGAAAAAGTTAAATTTTCACTATTTGCTGATGATATGATAGTATACATAAGTGATGCCAAAAATTCCACCAGGGAACTCCTACAAGTGATAAACCCCTTTGGATACAATATTAACTAAAAATTAAAAAAAAATAGTAGCCCTTCAATATACAGATGACAAATAGACTGAAAAAGAAATTAGAGAAACATCACCCTTTACAAATAGACACAAATAACCTAAAACATCTTGGGAGTTACTCTAACCAAACAAGTGAAAGACCTGTATGACAAGACCTTTAAAAATCTTTGAAGAAAGAAATAGAAGATACCAGAAAATGGAAAGATCTCCCATGCTCTTGGATAGGTAGGATTAGCTTAGTAAAAAATGGCAGTCTTACCAAAGTCAATCTACAGATTCAATGTATAACCATCAAAATTCCGGTAAAATTCTTCACAGACCTCAAAAGAACAATATTCAACTTCACACGGAAAAACAAAAAACTCAAGATAGCCAAAACAATACTGTACAATAAAGGAACTTCTGGAGGCATCACCATCCCTGACTTCAAACTCTACTATAGAATTACAGTAATGAAATCAGCTTGATATTGGCATAAAACAGACACGAGGACCAATAGAATTGAATTGAAGACCTGGATATCAATCCACACACCTATGGACACCTGATTTTTGACAAAAATCTAAAATTATAAAAATTGAAGAGAGAAAGCATCTTCAACAAACGGTGCTGGTATAACTGGATAGAGACATGTACAAGATTGCAAATAGATCCATACTTATTGCCATGCAGAAAACTCAAGTCCAAATGGATCAAATACCTCAACATAAAACCAACCACAATGAACCCCATAGAAGAGAAAGTGAGTAGTAGCCTTGAATGTATTGGCCCAAGAGACACTGACAGCAACAATTAATAAATGGGACCTCCTAAAACTGAGAAGCTTCTGTGAAGCCCAAGGACACGGTCAACAAGGCAAAAGGACAGCTTAAAAAATGGGAAAGATCTTTATTAACCCCACATCAGACAGAGGACTGATCTCCAAAATATGCAAAGAACTTAAGAAACTAGACATCAAAAGAACAAATAATCCAATAAAAAAATGGGGTACAGACCTAAACAGAGAACTCTCATCAGAGGAATCTAAAGCATCCAAAAGACTCTTAAGGAAATTCTCAACATCCTTAGCCATTAAAGAAATGTGAATCAAAACAACTCCGAGATGCTATCTTATGCTTGTTAGAATGACCAAAACACTGATGACAACTTATGCTAAAGAAGATGTGGCATATGGGGAACACTCCCCTATTGCTTGTGGGAGTGCAAACTTGTACAGCTACTTTAGAAATCAGTATGGCAATTTCTCAGAAAATTGGGAAACAATTTACCTCAAGACCTAGCAATACCACTCTTGGGCATATACCCAAAGAATGCTCAACCATACCACAAGCACATTTGTTCAACTATGTCATAGCAGCATTATTTGTAATAGTCAGAACCTTGAAAGAGTCTAGATGTCCCTCAACTAAAAACTGGATAAGGATAATGTGATACATTTACACAACAGAGTACTAACTACTCCGTGGTAAAAAATAATGACATCTTGAAATTTGCAGGCAAATGGATGGAGCTAGAAAAAAAAAACCATATTGAGTGAGGTAACCCAGACTCAGAAAGACAAATATAAAATGTACTCACTCATAAGTGGCTTTTGGACATAAACCAAAGAATAACCAGCCTACAGTCCACAACCCTAGAGAACCTAGACAACAAAGAGGACCCTAAGAGGGGCATACCTGGATCCACATAGGAAGGAGTAAAATACAAGATCTCCTGAGTAAACTGGAACATTGGGCAGGGGGGAGGGTGGAAGGGGAGAGGTGAGGAAGGGGAGTGGGGAAAGTGTATAACTCATTTAAAAACAATAAAAAAGAATATCTTCCAGTCATGTGGGCAAATTTACAATCATCTTCATATTCTCTTCGTGCTAGGGTCTCCTCATAACTAGTGTCAGGAAACTTTAATTTTCTAATGAGGATACGGATCTATGAATGGCAAGGAGAACAAAAGTGTTTGGAACTTCCCATAGGAATTCAAACATAGCACCTTTCCTTGTGTATTTGAGATAGTCTCACCATGAAGTGGCCAGGCTGGCCATGGAAACTTGCAGTCCGACAGCCTCTACCTTCCAAGTGCTGGAAATACAGACATGCATCACAACCTCTAGCTTAGAGCTTTCGTGATTCTGTAACACACCAGCAAACATGCCCGACGTTTCCTGAAGTTCTGATGACTGTGCATTTGGTGAGAGTTAGACCTACCTTTGGGCGGAACAGAATGCTTATTTCTCTTCTGTTGATGGTTCCTAAAATGGTCTTGTTGAAAAGGTTCATCATCTATGTGCAGGATATACAAAGCCTTTCTGAATTTACAGAAAAGCTAGGTGTGTGACTAATACTGCACTAGCAAAGCCTGTGGACACTGGTGTTGTAGAATATTATTTTAAGTAGGTATAGATGTGTTACACTTATTTATGCTGCGGAATATTACTTTAGCCATGTGCAGGTGTGTTGCATTTGTTTAGTTATGTACAGATGCGTTGCATTTGTCTTACCTTGTCTGTCTTAGGCACCTGATCGGCTTAATAAAAAGCTGAATGGTGATTAGCTAGCCAGGAGAGGAATAGGTGGGGCTGGTGAGCAGAGGGAATAAACGGGAGAAACCCAGGCTCAAATGAAGAAGAGAAGAATGAAGAGAATGTGGGGGAAACTGAGGGATATGCCTGGGGCTGAAAGTCAGGCAGCTACCAGCCAGCCAGACAGGAAGCAGTGAAAGTAAGACACACTGAAGGAAAGAAATGTAGATGAAGAGAAACAGGTTAACTTATAATAGCGGGTTGGACAAGCATAAGACAAGGCTGAGCATTCATAACTAATAAGAAGTGTCATGATTTGGGAGCTGGTTGTTGGCCTAAAGAAAAAATCTGGTCCACACCAGTGATGGCCAGCCCTACTTCTCTATGAACTTTCCACGATGATAAGAACTCTTCCAAGGGATAAAATTTCCCTTTTCCCAGTGATTAATAGGCTAAAAAGTGAGTGCTCTTTCCAGAATTTCTGGAAAGTTATCAAGCAAACAAGATAATTAATCTTAGGAGAGGAACCGAAGTGAAGAACGTTGACAGGCAAGCCTGGAGAATTCTTTTGAGCCTTCATCAAATGAAGTCATTTGAGTTCCCGGGTCTGTCTCCCGAGTGTGATGCCCTGCACATCCTTCTCACCTGAGAGAAAAGAGCTCCGCTCTTCACCCGCTAGGCCAGCGAGACCAACTGTGGGGGCCAGCATGGGCAGAGACAGGAAAGTTCAAGCGTCCACGGAGCTCGATTGAGGAGCACATTTTATTTGGCAATGCCAGAGAACCAGCACATACCAGCAGCATAATTTAGAATGATAAATCGCTATTTCAAACTCATCCATGGGAAATTTATTACTGAGATGGTAAACACAGACAACACAGTCAAAGGAGCTTAGAGAGTGATAAGAAAACAACTAAAGAATATCATCAACAGAAATGATTGTAATTCACTTAACAATACATTCACTTTACATTCCCCAGATTGTCATTTTATTTTCTATGAAATACAGAAGAATGTATATAGTCACATTCTGGAAGTCAAGAGAAATCTTTAAGTTTCACCTTAATATGTTATGTGCATGAGTGTTTTGCCTGCATGTATGTCATGTCCATGCATCATGTGTGTGCCTGGTGCCAGGCCAGAAGAGGATGTTGGATCCCCTGGAACTAGAGTTACAGACAGTTGTGAGCTGCCACGAGGGTGCTGGGAATTGAACTTGGGTCCTCTGGAGGAGCAGCCAGTGCTCTTAATCTCTCCAGCCCTGAAATTTTAACTTTCAATGACATTTTTATTTAAGATAGGTAAAACAAAAATAGCAATTCTGGCTTTTCAGTACACACACACACATCTATGGTACAGTAGCTTGTTCACATAATATATTGTGACGGCTTTCATTATTCTTCAAATATTCACACATAATTTGTAAACTCTCATCTTGGAGTAAATTAGAGTTTAAATTCAATAAATACTCTACAAAGAACAATTACAAAGCAGTGTTGAACAGTCTCAGATTGGGGACGGGCTTGTATAGCTAAAGGTTTTTGTAAGAATCAGTTCTGAAGGCGAACAGGGAACCTGCAGGGTTCCCAAGACAAGAGCCTGTGCTTTGGCAAGCTCCCCAAAACATGAGCAGCTAATGTTTCTGGGTTCAGAGAAGCATGTCCCCAGAGAAAGGAAGGCATTGCCACATCTTTGTCTGACCACGTCCACTTTCTAATAAACAGGAAGCGGGCCTTTCTCTTCAGAAAGACAAGGGGCCACGTAGTTGCTTCTCTTCTGTTGTACTTACATTCTGTTTGACCAAAGTCATAAAGACAAAAAGGGATTGTTTTTTGTTTGTTTGTTTGTTTCGTTTTCTTCCAAGACCTTTGGAGTTTGACCCTGGATGGCTAGTGAAGTATCTCTCATCCTCATTCCCTGTGTAAACCAGTCAGCCAGCATGTCAATGCTACTGGCTGTAGAAGAAACTCCCATGCCCTGGCAGGGCTTTTTCTCAGACCTGAATTTGGTGACAGAGGTTCCCTCACGGCAGAGGCCTCTCTGTAAGTCTCACAGCGGAGCTGGGACCTGCGCTTGTCTTATCCTCACACCACACTGATATTTCAACGTTTCTCTCCGCTGTATGTGGCATTTCCCTGGAGTTGCACAAAAACCTGTGAGGAAGCCGCAAGTATCCGTGTGCTCAGTGCACAGAAGACCAGGGAGAGCGGAAGGATAGCTCCTTCAGGCCTCACCCACCCACAGACCTGGGCAAGTTCTCTGCAAAACTCAAACTCAATAAAAACGTATAATTTATCTTTATGTGTGTGTGTGTGTGTGTGTGTGTGTGTGTGTGTGTGTGTGTGTGTGTGTATGCAGATGGGCATAGGTGCCCTTGGAGGCCAGAAGAGGGCACTGTATTCTCTAGAGCTGGAGTTACAGGCAGTTGTGAGCCACCTGGTATTGGGTCTTCTGCAAGAGCAGCAGTTAAGAGCTCTTAACTGCCAGGACACCCTCCAGTTCCTCTGAAACTTATCTGTGTGTACGCGTTAAATGATTGTCTTAAGTGCTAGTATTTGTAAAATAAAAAAAAATACCCCCTTTGGTGCTGGGTTGAGAAAAACGCTATACTAACTTGGAGTGTTTATCATTTTGAATTGAATTTGGATTCCTTTTTGCTGAAAAAGAAAAATGTGTAAGCAATCACCATAACTCCCTGGCTTAGTTATGTAAGACAGAACTAGCAAGTCCATCAGGAGCGTGCCATTGTGGCAAAGACGCCATCACACCCACAATGACAACCTATCAACCTAGCTTAGGCCTGGGGTTCTGCTGGGTGACATTTTGAACTAGTAGTCAGTTTGATTTTCATTAGTATGTGTGCTTTAAAGAACAAATGAGTTAAAAAGACAGTCATTCATGACACCATTGTGCAAAAGATGAGTAAAGAGGCCCTTTGCTCCTCTTCGGACATTACCTGTCCCAACCCACCTACCGCCCAACCCTCTGCCTTCTCAGGCAATCATACCCGACGAATATCACACCAGCAGCATCCCGTCCGCCCTGAATCAAAAAGTGAGGCACCGAAAGGTAAGTTACACTTTGGCAAGCAGGCGACCAGACAATTCTTTGCGTTTCTCTGAGGTAGTGGAATCCTATTAGTCTAACAGTTCAAATGAGTCTCGGTTGCTGGGCTAAGAAACAGGTAGAGAGCTGGCCTCGCACTCACACCCTATCAGAGGCTAGTGGCTGATATTAGCACATACTCCACAGTCCTCTCCAATAGCACCCTCATTGCCACATGGGAAACATGAAAACACTACAGTTGCCACGTTAGGAGGGTGAGCACTGCTTCCCGAGGGCACACTTCACTACGACTTGAATTTAATTCCTGCACGTCTTTCCATAAAGTGCCCGTGCACTGTCAGGTGCTCAATAAACATGATGTCACTAAACATTTAAGATCTCTGACTTAGTAAGAGAACAAGCAAAACCAGCATTTAAAAACCAACCAACTGCAGGCTCAAAGTCCATGCATGGAATTCTAGAGAAGGTTCAACCTCGGAAAGCATTAAGTTCCGATGGTGTTGGGCACGGCTTGGGTCCACAATTCCATCTTAACTCTTTGTATTAGACATTCCCAGCTCCATGGTGCTCTTACGATAGCGTATGACTTTGGGTTTTCTACCTGTGATGAGCTTTTGTGAAGACAAAGTAGTCAGCTTTCTCTGTTGTTCTTCAAGTTTTTCTGCTAGACATTTAACCAAGACGGGATCCACTTTAGAATCAAATTTATTAGCAAACCAATGCCCTTCCTTTATAAGCCACCGTAATTCTGCAGCGCCGTAGATACACACACTTCGAAGGTGCGAGCCAGTGCAATTGGGATAGAAGAAGCCTTCATAATAATTCCATTTGACCAGGCGGGTCTTACTCTGTAGGTCAGACACATCCTGGGCCGATCTTGAAATTTCTCCAGGTATTCCTGGTATCCGGGTCAAGGTAGCCCAAAAGTGTTCATCAGGAGAGTATGTATCTTTAGACCAGGCAAAAAAGTCTTCAACGAGGGAACTGTTAAAGATATATTTAACAAATGCTTGACTTAAAACAAAGTAGGCACTGCCTACAAACACCTCAATGTTATGAGGTGGAGCCTCCTTGGAGATGTTTGTCCTTACTGGGAGCTTCATGTATTCATAAGGCACCGGTCTGAGCTCATGATGGTACGTGAACCTTTCCATTTTGCCAGTAGGAGGTTTCACCGTCTCTAACATATTCTGGCCTTGGAGTTTTTTCAGCTCCGACACTAATTCGAAGTTGGACTTGAGGGGAAAGTCTTGCCCACACAGGTTGATGACATACTTCCACCGAACTGAAGATTTGAGTAGGTCTGATAGGCAATTCAAGTCAGCCTGCAGCCTGGAAATGTGGGCGTACTCCACAGCCTCCAGTCTGGACGCGATGAAGATATTGGAGAAGCACCTAGCTAAGTTGTTCATGGCGATTTTGAACTCGTCTGGTGACTTCAGGTCATAATGGATGCAGTAAAGATTGTGCTTGTTGTAAATGGCGTGAATTAGCCTCTCAACCATAATCGCATCTTTGTGGACAACCAGCGAGTAGGCTATGGGGAAGCTCTTTTCCTCTCTCGAAACAAGCTTCTCATGGTACCGTCTGAGGGTCTGATAAACATCACAGTCGCTGGTCAACGCCACAACATCACCATCCTCCAGGTCGATGATGTTTTGTCTTCGGATTTCCAAACTCTTGCCGATCTCCAAAGGCTCCTGCTCATAGATCCCCGAGCAGTTAACTTCATACCTGGCTTCATCCTGGATAGGGGGGAACCTGTTCCTCACAAAAGGGGAGGTACTTAGGGAATATTCAACTAAGTAAATGTCTCTTTGAGGGAAGAGGAGCCGGCCCACATTTAGAAGCTTTAACAAGGAGAGCAGCCATAGCGTTAAGAAGAGGACGAAGAGCTTTTGCTGGAGTGTGTATTTATAGCAACATCTGAATATCTTCATTCTGCAAGGAGAAAGGGATGGCAGCTGTTACTAACTAATATGAGGAGAAAATTCAGTTTATCCAAAGTTTCCTGGGTACCACCTGCTACATGTCACACAGAGGGCTGAACCCAAAGATAAAGGAAGCAAAGTCCTGAACAAATCCAGAAACAGTGAAATAGAACTATATTGTCAGGGAACTTTGCGATAGTCGGTGTTAACTAACATTAGCTCATTTAGACAGATGCTGGTTATCAACCAGAGCAGATGACAATAATCAGTCGTCCACTGGTACCGTAGAGGGCTGGCTCCAGGACTTCCAGTTGATGGGCAAGATCCGCAGAAGCCCAAGTTCCTGAGATAAAATGGCTTACTATTTGCATATAACCTATACACAATTTCCTACATGCCTTTCTCTGTTTCTAGGTAACCTACAATACCTAATGTGGAACCCACACAACGCTTGTTCACGAGGATTCAGCCCAGCACTGGGTTCAGGGCAAATTCAAGTTTTGCTTCTAGGAATTTCCTAGAATTTCCCTTTTCAGGTTTTCTAAATGAGTTTTTGCTGAATTTGCAGACAAGTGGCCCACAGATACGGGAGGTTGACTACACAGTGTCTCTTACAGCCTGCATCTCGTCTTAGCATATCTGAGGCAGGATTACCGTGGTTTGGGTAGCAGTTGAGAGAACAGGATGAATCAAGAGGCTCTCAGAGATGCAGTGACTCAGTTGAAGCCCAAACGATCATTGAGCTTCATCCAACCTTTGGATGTTGACGATGGAGGCCAGAGGTCAGTTAGGAAAAGTTCAGAAAACCCACTTCAGGAATCACACCAGACAGACTGTAAGATGTACAGATCATAAAAACTGCATAAACCTTCTTTCTTTCTTTGTTAGTTCCCATTTCCCCATAGGAATTAGCAACATAACCTTCAGGTTGGGAAAGGGTCAACACTCGTTCAGGGTAGAGTTATAAAAGCGGCCTTGGATTTACAGTGTGTTGTCTTGCGGGTGAAAGAGTCAGTTTTTCTCCCCATGGCTTTGTAACAGTAGGCCGAAACGGCCTTGAGCCAGAGTGACCAAGACTCAATTACTGTGTGTATTTGGAAGAGCAAAAGCTAAGACCTGACAGTGGACCAAGACCCCTGAGCTGGGGCCCTCATTCAGCAAAGATGCTGTCTGCACCTGGCAGAGGCGTGGAGAAGGCGGGATAGATCTGAAGCGTGTTTACCACCCGATCTATGAGTGCACATGTGAGATGAATGGAAGGCGGATTACTCTCACCAGATTCTGAGTGGACAGTCTCACCATGTATGGGGACAGAAACCAGGACAGTGAGGAGAGCAGGCCCCTTCTGACTGCCCTGAGCCCGAGTGCCTTCAGGATTTCCACATGGAAATGTCCACCAGGGGACCAGAACGGCCACCACCTAAGTTTGGGTGAGAGGTCAGGGCTGGAGAGAAATGTGTCAGCAACACAAATGTGGAATTGAAAATCCTGGTGGTCAGGCTGAGTATGGAGGAGACAGCAGTGAGCTGAGAAAGGGGACCCCAGGCAGCCGCAGAGCGTAGGCTGGGATGCGGCTCGAGGAAATGGAACCCTGCAACACAGAACAAGGGCACCAAGTTGCAGACCCGGAAGCCTGAGCACACATGTGCAGAGATGCTGTGATGAATCAAGACAGGAGATGAGTCGATTCCGAGTGCGCTTTGTAGGTCCAGGGCTCTTAATTAGCATAAATTAATCTTTCCCTTGGCCAAGTGAGATGTTTAAAGAGACTGATACAGGCTCCCAGAGCTGGCATGCCGTGGTTAACCTAACAACCAGCTTCACATTTACATAAAAAGATAAGGGCCAGCTGTCTACCCATTGCCAGGGTCTCAGCATCTATGTTCCTGCCTTTCTTGGGTTTGGTGAGTTTGAGCTGCCAGGAAGCCAGGGCTAGCTGCTCAAAACAGGCCAGTCCCAGAGGGCTGGGCAATGGCGGGAGGGGTGTGTGTGCTCTAAAAAGTCCTCTGGAACTGGCTCTTACTTTCGGTTTTGGCCTTTTCTGGTCAGGGACAGGGGTGAGTTCCAAAAGACAAAGGGGAGGCACTGGGACAGCCTAGGCCTGTCCTGGCTCTCTGAATGTCTGCTGCTCCCCCCAGAGATCTTTCAGGAAGATAAGCTTGTCTGGCTGGGGTCGCCTTGAAAGAGGCCCCTTCCAGTATTAGTACCCTGTCCCAAGTCAAAATACAACTGTTCTTATCCCAACCATGGTCCTTTAACTAAAAGCGCTTCGGTGTGGAGGAAGGACACAAAGCTGGGTGGCTAGGGAAGGGGGGGACCTGGGAAGAATTGGGGGAAGGAAGGCGAATATGATCAAAGCATGTGGTATAAAATTCACAAAGAACAAGGAAGGAGCTTGCAAAAAGAGGAATTAAGAAAAAAAAAAAAAAGTAAAAGGCCACGGAGGTGGCATGCCCTCAGATTTTAATGAGTTCCTGCCAGTTCCTAAACAGGGACACTGGCCTCTTTCCAAGCTGCTGGCCGTGCTGAGAAACCAGCCCTGTATCCTGGGCACCAGCAGAGGGAAAGCTCCTCTAGGAGGTCCAAGGAGACTAAAATCTCCAGCCTTGGCTTGGCTTTGGCCTCCTCCTGCTCCTGCACACAGTGAGCTTGTGCTTAGCCAGTGGGCTCTGCGGAGGACAGCATGGTCCCACGGCTTGCAGCTGCAGGGGTAAAGGTGGCTCGCAGCTACAGGGGTGAAGGTGGACAACACCTATAAGTTACAGTCCCCCCATCCTCCTGTCATTTGCTGCCCAGACCCAGAGACCCCTGACACCTCAGGCACTGAGGATGTAAAGGAGCCCTGAGGCCCTGCCTGAGGCTGAAGGGTGGGCTCAGCTAAGCTGGCTCCCAAGCTGTCCCCACTGCTCCTCTCTGCTCCCAGCTCAGTACTCAGTATCTCCTGTAAACAATACACTGGCCACCTTCCTCTCTAGGTTGGTGGGCAGGCAAGTAGCTTGCTGGCTGGGAGTATATAACAGTTACATTACGAATGACTTCTAGTAGAAGAAGAGACTGTCCCTTCTTACCTGGACAGACAAAGAAGTTGTCTTGTGAAGTCTGCCACCATAAAGACATGAGTTCCTAGCTATGACAATCTAACCGGAAGGAGAAAATGACAGCAAGGACAGCAAGGCTCCTATAATGATTCCAAAGGAAATCATTCCTTACTAAAGTCCCAACAGGAAAGACGTGAAGCCTTTCCTCAATCCGTGATCTCCCCAGCTCTCCCGGCATTGCTAGAGCTAGGAGGCAGCAACAGGGAATGCACAGTGACTGAGCACCAGTGCTTGCATGAAGGGCCAAAGGCTACAGTCACCAGCAGCTGTCTAACCATCTTTGGAGCCCAGAGCCATCGGAGCAAGAGGATGTGCCTTCCTCAGGTGAGGAAGAGGACTAGTAGATCAGGAACAAGAATAAGATGACTGGAGAGAAAAGTACTGAGTAAGTTACAGCTTTTAGGGACCAAGAACTGAGGATTGAAAAGATGGTTCAGTGGTTAAGAACTGGCTGCTCTTCTAGAAAACCCAGGTTAGAGCCCCAACATCCACATGGGAGCTCACAACCATCTGTGACTCTACGTTCAGAGGATTCAATATCCTCTTCTGGACTCTGAGGGCACTTTGCACATGTGGAACACAGATATGCATATGGGAAAACACCCGTGCACATAAAATAAAACTAAACAAAGAATTTCATTCTTACAGTGCTTCTCAGGAGCTTACCAGACGAGAGAGAGAGAGAGAGAGAGAGAGAGAGAGAGAGAGAGAGAGAGAGAGAGAGAGAGAGAGAGAGGGGGGAGGGGGGAGGGAGAGAGAGAGAGAGAGAGAGAGAGAGAGAGAGAGGGAGGGAGGGCAGGTTTTAGGATGTCATGGAGTTTAGCTTGAGGACTTGAGGACCCTGGGGAACTCGGCAGCTAGCCGTGTCTAGCTTACCTCTCTGAAGGTCAGCTGTTTTTTTGCTCAGGATGGGATTTAGAAAGTCCTCCAGCCCCCAGGGTCTTAAACTGTGTGCTGCATATGGGGGCCCATAGCTGGGTGTAGAGTTCATGAAACATTTAGTAACAATAAAAGCCTTCCCTTGTTTTCCTGTAAGGCTTCTTCTTACCCATGACCAGCTTGCTTAACACATCTTGGAGCCTTTTCGGTTCTCTCATTATACAGGATTCACTGCATGCATCTATCTTAAAAGCTTGACTTCTATTTTGTAGTTATGTGTACGCATGTGCATCTGTGTGGGGAAATGTGCTCATGTGCAAGTGCCCACCGAGGCCCGAGGAGGGCCTTGGATCTCCTGGAACCCGAGTTACAGGAGGTTAAGAGCCACCTGACATGGGTGCTGGGAACTGAATTCAGGTCCTCTGCAAGGGCAGTATATGCTCTTAACCACGGAGCCCTCTCACCAGTCCCTGAGCGTTTAAAAGCAGAATCTGGAAGGCCATTTTTTGTGGACACTGTTAAGAACACGGCTGTCCTATTCCTGAACAAGGAAGGAGGAGGCAATGCCACAAGGATGAGTGGCAAACCTTCCTGAAGCCTAGACTCACACTTATTGCCTTTTACCTGGGTTTGCAGCACTGGAGACGGAACCCCGAGCCCCACGTAAGCTAGGCCAGTTCCACTGCTCCTCCAGCTTTTGCCTATCTTCTCAATCTACCCCTGAAGCTTCAATGCAAGCTCAGTATTTCAAAGTCAGTGCCCCACAACCTCCAGTCCAAACTCTTTGTTAATTTAATAGCATTGCTGTGGATGCAGGCTTACTCAGAACGTGGTTCCGGATTACTAGATGCGTAACACAATCCCTTCAGCAGATATTATAATGAGATGGTAACTGCCAATATCCATCTTTTTTAAAGAAAAGAAACCAAGGCACATGAGACAAATAAAAAAACTATCCAAGAGCAGGGGTAGAAACCTCTCCTCCCACAGAGGGGACCTTATCCATGGTAAGCAGGGATGTCCCTTCCTTGGGCTTTCTCCTTACGTCAAATCTCCCTGACTCTAAACTCAGTTTTACTAATGTTTCAAATTTAAAAGAAAATCTCCAAAAACAAAACAAAACAAAAACTCACATTGTCCAAGAACCAGATGTGGAAAGTGCAATATTGGAGCTTAGAGCCAGGAATTCTCAGCACACACAACCCCGTCACCTGGATATGAGGGAAAACAGTCTCTAGTTTCCCACAATAGTTTAGCCCTTGACTGACGTTCCCACTGGAAGTCTTGCATAACTGTCCTGAAGCAGAGACAAATGGATTCCACTCGTAAGACACTATACCTGTCTGAGATAGAACCTGCCTGGAGAATTAACTTTTGGGGACCTAGGTGGTGACTCCTGAAGCCCCAGGCCCAGGCATCAGTGAGCTGATGAAGATCTTAGCCAGTTTCCAGTTGGTAGGACCCTTTAAAGGAGGAGGAGGGTGCTCACCCTAGGATTTAGTCAGAGACGCCTGGCTCAGAGCTTGTCGCTATGCAGTTGGGGCTGTTTGAGAATTCCTGAGTTTTTTTTTTTTTTTTTAAACTTTCTAGATGAAATCTCTCTCCAGGAAAAGAACATTCCCTCCACGCACGCACCTTTGAGTCTTTACACTTTGTTTTATTGTTGTCAGCTTGAAAAATAGGACATGCGAAGCTTATTAATTTGGGAATGTCAGGATTTGTTTGTTTTTTTTTTTTCTCTAAAGCCTTACAAAGTAGAGTCATCATTCATCACACAAGGACAGAAACATAAAAATGAGCATACTTAAAAAAAGAAACAAAAATAAATAAAAACCCAAATCTCCTCCTAGACAGAGGGAAGCTGGTGTGCAATGGCCGGATGAGCTAAGGTGTTACCCTGGCGTTTGATCTCAGTGAGGTCACGCTCCTCATCACCTCGCTCATCACCTACCGCAGAACGTTCTGGACTGCGGCCCTTGGGTGGGAGGATGACTCAGCTCCAGGGCATTTCTGCAACGCCCCCACAGTAACTCAGAGTTGTGCAAAGGACGCGGAGGACAAGCTTCTCTCTGCGTTTCCTCGCTCTTTGTTCTAGTCTAGAAAGAACATGGCAAAGGCCTGCCATAGTGTGGAGCAGGTAAGTATGATACCTACGCAAATCACAAGAGCCGCATGTGGGCTAAAAACCCCAGGGACATGAAGACAGACCGGCCTGAAAAGGCAAGATCCCATCCTCATTTCATTAAAACAAAACAAAACAAAACAAAACAAAACAAAATCCAGCAACTCAGGAAGTCAGAGAAGCCGGTAGTGGGGAACAAAGCCTGCAGTGATCCATAACTTGGCATGACATTCTTTGGACACCATGTCCTTCTAGCCTGATTTTAAGATGTTCTCTGTGCTCCCCAGGCCCTTAGGAAGGGCAGCTTCACTATGCAGGCACTGTCTTGCCCCTTTCTTTCACCCACGATAGATACTGTGCTTTTCAACAAGAACAAAATCACGCAATTGTAGTTTCTTTTTCTAGGTCTTTCCCATCAGTGCTTAGTTAACAAAATGTACAGTTCCCAAAGAAACCTAAATGAAAAAAAATCTTAAGACTGAAAAGACTTTCAAGGTGACGGAGACTCCAGTCCTCCAAAGGTAGCTGCCCATTATGGACCCTCACTTCAGGGCTGGGATGCTGGGAACACATTTTCTCCACTACACATGTGGCTTGGTTTGCTTCCACTGCTATGACAAAATACCATAAACTGGGGAGTTTACCAACAACCGAACTTATTTGTCATGGTCCTGGAAGTTGGGAAGCTAAGCTCAGAGTGCAGATCATATCTAGGACTGGCTCACTCCAACTTTCAAGAGGGTCCCTTATTATTGCATTGCCCCAAGGCAGACAACAGAAGGGCATAGGTGCGGGAGAGGTGAGCCGCTCCCTCACACCTCCGAGAAGTTCACTAATTTCCTCCGTGACAGCTCAACCCATTGCATGATGAACCTCCTAGATACCTTCTATCACACTGGCAGTTAAGTTGTAACATGCATTTGGGGAGGACACATTCAGATTGTAGTGATTTGCGTTCAGCCAATGCTGGCCATCAAGGGGGGCAGGATCCCCAGTCCCTTATGTGGCTCCTCATGGTGGCATTTAGCGCAACTTGGCTTGACCAGTCACTAAGATGGTCCTGACCAGACAACAAATATCTTCATACTGTCAGAGTCCATGGACACAGGCCTGTCCCTTCTTAATGGTCTATGTAGAATGTCCGTGTTAATTGTATGTACATACTGGCAGATTGATGGGTTGGGCACAATCACTCTTCCTGCATTTTCAGATGAGGAAATGAGTCACAGTAGATACTTTGGGTTGCAGTGTGTAGAGGAGCCAGGAATTTCAACCATGGCCCAATTATTACAACCACAACCCAACCCTGCCCTTCCAGCCGCTCAGTGGCCTAGCGGAACTGGGACTAATAAATGACTGCCATAAGGGTCTACTACACGTGCTCAGGAAATGCTAAACTATACAAAATAGAAGCTAACTAAAGGACCGTCCCTGGTCTTCTTCTCAGGAAGAGTGTGATCCTGCCCAGCAGGCAGGGTGACCCTGTGTGGAGAAAGCAGCCCTGGTCTGTGTTGGGATAACTGTGACAATAGTTTACATTAGAAACCTCCCCAGTTGTCCAAGAAACCACACTTAGAATTTCTACCTCTGTGAAACATGTTTAATTGCTCAAAGTGTAGCTTGGGGCCATGAAACTGATGGGGGATTTCGGTTCTGGGCTAGTTCCCTTTGGTGCATTAGGCAGAACCAGTCACATGCTACTATTGAAGATATTTTGTTTATTAATCTCTGAGTGGTAGGGAGATTTCATACTGGGAAGGCATAATAGTTCTATACTATAGGAGCCCTTGGTTCTCTTTCCCACTCTGACAGAGTCTCTCTAACCTAAGCCACATCAACTTTGCCTGCTGTATGAGAAACAGCCTCCTATATAAATGACTTCCTTGTTTCTTCTAGTCCATTCCTTACGAGTGGAAAAGACACACCCTGCAAGCACACCTGCTCTCTGTGCGCCAAACCCTTCACTGGGCTGCCATTTAACGTACAAAACCAGAATCCCTTTCCCGTGCCTGCTTTTCTCTACAAGTTCAACTTATTCTTTCTCTCTCATTGAGCTTTAGGTGACAGCCATCTTCTGAGACCTTCTAGAACCCCTGTCTCTTCATGGCCTCAGGACCGACCTGTGTGCTTGTTCCTTAATCTGGACCACCTTTCCCTGGACCCTAGCCCGCTAGGGTTCTCACACTTTGTATGTAGAAAAACAAACATATCATTTCCTGGGGTTCTCTCTGATCACCTTTTTCAAATCTCTCTCCAGCCTATCCACACTCACGCATTTTTATTCCCGAGCCATTGCCACAGACAAAGGTCCTTGTGTTCCTGTCTCAAGACAGATTACAGACAAGTGCAAATGGACCTTTGTCCGTATCATTCCCCCCACCCCCGCTCCAGCACCAAGCACATTCATCCTGGTACACTGCAGCTCATCAGTAGGACAAAGTCCAAGGACCCAAATTCTTAGTCTGGGCTCTCCTATCTAAAGCTTCCTCTAGTGACCCAGCAAGCTATTAATCACAGGTATGTTTTCAAGCCCAAAGTATTAATCTATTAAGCAGGATAACAGTTTCTCTAATTTACACGATTATTGTGAAGGCCCCATGATACAACGCATGAAAAAGATGTTGGTCTGCAAACATCAGGTTTTAGGCTCTCTGTAAGAATAGTGGGTTCCCGGGGAAACCCAGAGCCAATACTTAGTTCCTTTCTGTCTTTGTGAAGCAGCATATCATTGTCACTCCTGCCCCCGCTATCCTAAATGATTCTCCATTCTGTATTCTTCAGCAACACGTTTCTGCTGACAGGAATTTGAACTTAGGTTCAGAATTCTCCCTGGGGTTTCGCAGTGATGTAGACCCAGACCTGCCCTGACTGTGAAAGACAGGAGATAGCAGCTCTAGTTCATGTTTTGAGGTGGTTCCCCATTTCCTTTGAAACATTGGCTGCCGAGGAACTTCTCCCAAAGGCATCCGGGAGTGCACTGGAGCCCCCCATCCTCCAGTAGAGCCTCAGAGGTGCTAGCGCCCCATAAAGCGGTGCTGGCCATGTTCTATGTAGCAGAGGCTTCAGGTCTCTGCTCTCAGCCCCCACTCTTTTAGAGGTGACTCTCTGCAGTGGATCTGTGTTGGCCTCGGTTTGGAAAAGTCATCCCTAAGGACCACATAACCAACAAAACCATCCCTCGTCTTTTACAGCATTGCGAACACACAAACACACCCACAGACAGGGCCTTTGCAGTACCCTGTCGCAAGGATCACGGCCAGTGACACTATCTCAGCGTGGTTAACTAGGCTGTCATCCAAAGGGGTGCTTCCAAGGCCAGCTACCACCAACAGCTTTCTTGCTATGAAACAGTTTACGTTACCTGCAGAGCAGCAAGAACAGGGGCTTCAGTGGAAACGCCGGACGTGAAAGTCATTCTCTACACGGCTTCTTTAGAGCACTATTCTGCCTGCAGTGCCTCTTCCGGAGTCTTTCAAGTCTAGGGAGAGTCACAAGATGTGTAAGGTTACATGGGAAATGAGTAATTCATACCAAGATGTGTTGATGGCACTGATAGCAGTCCCTGGAGGTTGTGGGATATCTGGGTCGTGGTAATGCAGCAGAAAGGCACAGAAACCAGCCACTATTCCGTCGTTACAGTAGCCTGGGGAGTCGACTTGATTCTTGGTTTCTCTGATATGGTCTCAAGGTAAAAAACAGCAGTTGTTCATGATCCAGTCAGCAAGGTCACCTCAATGCCAAGAGGTCCTAGCGGGAGTCAAAAATGCCAGAGACTGTGAAGCCAGTGAGATTTCCAGTTCACAACACTCCATGGCCCTTATCATGGAGCAAGATATTTTTTTCCTCCAATTTTTTTTAAAAGAAGGACAGATTCCCCAAATCTATATACCCGAAATGTTGGATTGTTGGGAGCTTGTGTGCCAAGCCCTCCTGTCTGACCACAAGGGACTGCAGAAGAGGAATGGGCGGATTCATTAAACCTTCACCCTTTGAGTTTCTTTCTTTCTTTCTCCACCTCTGTCCATCACATTTAGCTTAAGTACCAAGAAAATCAAGCAGTGTTTGAAATTTCACGTTTTAACCTTAAAATGTGGGTCAAGAATATTTTGGATTCCTTTTTCTATAAAGTAGGAAACCAGAAGCAAAAAAGCATTAGTCGTGTGTGTGTGTGTGTGTATGTGTGCGCGCGCACACACACATGTGTGCATTCTTGCATGTGCATGCAAAGACCAGAACAGGATGGCAGGTTCTTCCTCCATGGTATTCCTTTTCACTGTCTGAATGCAGGATTTCTCACTGAGCTGGAAGCCCACTAATTCAACTAGACTGACTGGTCACTGAACACTTGGAATCCAACTATCTCTGCCTCCCAGTGCTGGTTACAGGCACACACAGTCATGTCTGGCTTATTTGGTTTCCACATGAGTGTTGTCAAACTCAGGTCCTTAGGTCTTCATGTTTTTATACAGCACCTGCTATTATCCACTGAGCCACCTCCCCAGCCCTTGTTTATTTTTTAAGATGAACCTTATTGTGTGAGAAAGGAAAGAACTTCCCTCACCTAATGTGTGCAGGTGTGATTGTTTCTCGCCCCTGAGATCTCTGGAAATGTTTATTTTGGTGTCATAGAGAGCCAATTACCTACTTAAAAAACATTTTAAAGCTATTTGTTTATTCCTATTTTATGTGCATTGGTGCTTTGCCTGCATGCATGTCTGTGTGAGGGTCTCAGATCTCCTAGAACTGCAGTTACAGGCGTTGTGAGCCATCACGTGGGTACTGGGAACTGAACCTGGATCTCCTGGAAGGTCTCCCAGTGCTCTTAACCACTGAGCCGTCTCTCCAGCCCCTCAACTCTATATTTTTTTCTCCTGAAATTAATTCCTCAAAAGCTCTGTAGCTCGCTGAAGATGTGTGAGTAACTGATTTATGCGTGTGCATTTATGCCCTGGAATAACTGCACGGTGGAGAAAGCCCGGGACAAACAGATGTGAATCAGGGTACCTCCATCAGAAATGGCGGAGGCCCAAGCCTTGCTGCTAATGGCTGGAATGAACATGCTCTATTTCAAGTTAGAAGAGTTTGCCCGTTTGTTCTCGAGGTTCAGTCTAAACAGTGGGAGTTCGATGGACATCACTATTGCTTCTGTTCTAATCAAGTCAAGATCATCTCGGCATGGTGGCTCACATATTTAATTCTAGCACCCAGGCGTCTTAGGCAGCAGGATCATGAGTGAGGGGCCAGCCTAGGCTACATTGTGAGGTTGTCAAAATAAACACAAACACCGCCATAGGCATTTGTGCACACATGTGTGCATGCACTGGTAAACACACATGTGCACACATATGCACATTCACATACACTCACAGGCACACACAGATATAGACCTGCACATATACATGTGCACACACACAGAGATCCACATACACCCCTAGGCACGCACATATGCACATATAGACAGAGAGACACACATGAGCATACACAATACATGCGCATCGAGGGGGTTACTTCTGTCATGACTGCACTGTTTAATCAAAGATCTGTCGGCTTCGAATATGCAAACTGCCTTGAAATCTTGTGTACATACAAAATACTAAGTTAAAACCCAGGAACTCAAAAATTAAGTGGGAGACATAGAGGAAGATCCACAGTGGCTGAGTTGATATTGCCAAAATAGGTACTTCCAAAGCAGGGAGTTTTAATCTTTGCTGAACCCCATGGTCACTGCGCAGCAGACATCTCTGGCAAGGGTGCATTGGAACCACGGTTCCCACTCAGACAGCAGGCTGGAACACGCAGGTGACGAGGCAGATGAACACGGGCTTGCTTAGCTTTCTAAATGTCTAAGCGAGCCTACATGCCAGCTGCATGGAGAGCAAAATCAACAGCCAGAGCCGGTTGTCTGATGGACAGATGTGCCAGAACAGAGGTGTGGCGAAATCAGAAACAGTGGGTTGGGGGGACGTGGGGGACTCTGGCAGGCTGCTGGCCACCTTCAAAACCCACCCTCCTTTTGGTCTCTCAGAGAGTCCCTCTGTGGCTGGTAACAGAAATGGGCAACTTTGAAAACTTTCTTCCCACCTCCCATGTAGAAGAGCCAGGAATGGAAAGACTGTGAAAGCGGGGAGGTGTGGCTCTCTGTAGGAAGGATGTCCAGTTTCTGTCCTTTTCTATCTTTCTATTTTTCCGCCTGGAACTCTAACACGGCGGCTAGAGCCATTTTTAAAGAGATGGTACAAGCGTACAGACGTACAGACAAAAGACTGTTGGTCTCAGCCTACAGCTCCTCAAGCCACTGAGCCAGTAACAGCAAACACCCCCTGTCCTGAGCTTTTGTTAGATGAGAAAAGCAAGCCCTTACATATTTAGGCAACTTGCACTTTGAAGGATGAACACAGGAAAAGGGTAATGATGCTTCTTGCTCTCTCAAATAGCAAAATTAAATTTAAATCAGGTTGAAGTGAGTACTTTACTTGCTCAACAGCACAATTCTGTACACAGTCAAGTGCAAAAATATGTCTCAAATATGCTGAACTTCTCATCCGTCTAAATTTGGAGGCAGATGGAGGCTTTAGGTAAACATCTAAAGGATGGCAGCCGGCAAGATTTACCAAATTAACTCCAGTGCCGGCGAGAGCTGCAGCTGACTGACTAGGCTTCTCTGAGGCCCCCTTCACCACATGGCAAGCTTGGATCACCAAGCATGGATCACCAGGCAAGGGGGTGGTCCACACAATGTCCCAGCATCACCCTGTAGGTGGGCTCCTTTCTTGAAAGGCTCTTCTCACACGGGCACTTTAGGGGCAGGTTTTCAATAAAAAGATGTCAGTACCGCGTGACTCAAAACCACTCTGAGCGGTTGTGCCCCTCACCCTGCCTTCTGGCTGCATCTCCCTTTTTGCCACGCACTTGCCCCCTCCATCTGATCTTTGGGTACATCCTACAAGTTTGGAACTGGAAATCAATGGTTCTAGTTTGAGTCCCAAGTCTGTCACCAAGGAGATGTCATGACTAGATGGCCTCTCCCTCCTGGGCTAGGGAGGAGCAATAAGAGCTCTGGTTCCCATGGTGATGAGATGGTAAGTTGAGTTGATGCCCTGGGTGTGCTGTGGCAGGAAAGCCGGATAGCTGATAATTAGGCTCTGAGGTATTTAAAGCAGCTGGTCCAGTGATCAAAACAGGGAGTCCTGCTCAGGGCGTCCTGCCCACTCCATACCCAGAAACTGTATTTGAGAGGTGACCACCATGGGGTCTACAGGCAGCTGAAGCCAAAGTCACAATAAAGGTTTCTATGCTTCTTGTGGTCCCGGGCGGTCAGATCGGGGCCCACAGCTGCAAGCCTGAAACTTTGAAAATACATTTTTATAAAGAAGTCATCATAGGGATCATGGGAAAGGCAGAATAGACTGGATTAAAACCCTGTTAAAGTCCCTGCCCCATGTTGCGACATGTTCGGTGCCTTGGTTATAAGTCTACTATCATTACTTCTTTCTCAATAATTCACATGGTTATTCCTTCTTTTACTCTAAAACTTCCATTATTCTCTATTTATAAACTAATTGAGGACCATAATGATCTTTTTTTCTGGAGCTGGCCAGGTCATCTGCTACAGGCACTTGCTGTCAAGCTGATGACCTAAGTTCAATACCCAGAATTCACATGACAGAAGGAGAGAAGTGACTGCCACAAGCTGCCCTCTGGTCTCCATGTGTGCGAACACACACACACACACACACACATACACACAGAGAGCACTAAATGTCAGAATTTTAAAAAAGACATGCCTTCTAATTTTGGTGGTAAAATATAGAGAACCCAAAATTGATCACTTTAACCAGTTTAAAATGCCGATTTACATGTGAAATTTCCATCTTTACATTAGAGACAGTTACTGCTATTGATGGGGTTAGGCATGCTGCGTCCATACACACAGGCACCAAGCACACTCGGGTGACTATAGCCAGAGCACCGCTCTGCAGCATCAAAGACTCCTGTGTGCTGTGCACCCATCAGCACTATCCGTTCCTGAACTGCGTCCTTTCCCAGAGGGACTTCGTGTCTACTGAATACTAGCTCCCAGTTCTCCTGTATGCCCAGCCCCTGGACACCATCCTTCCACTGTTTCTAGGACTTTGACCACTCAAGAATCCACACAACAGGACGCATGCAGTATTTGGCCCAATGTGATGTCTTCAAGAGTCATCCATGTTGAAGCATGTGCCCAAACGTCTTCCCTTCTGGAGCCTGAGTAATCCCCCACTGTAGGCCCTGGTATCGTTTGCTCACTCATTCCAGTCAGTACCTATTGGGCCTGCTTCCATGTTGCTGTGAATATGGGGGAATGAATAATTTGAGTTACTGCCTTCTTTAGAATATACACCTTATTCCTTGCTTTTCCTAAGGGAGTTTTTAATCAGTTTTTTTAATTTTTTTTAAAGATTTATTTAGTTATTATGTGTACAGCATTCCTTCCATGTGTGCCCACATGCCAGAAGGGGGCACCAGGTCTCATCATAGATGACTGTGAGCCACCATGTGGTTGCTGGGAATTGAACTCAGGACCTCTGGAAGAGCAGTCAGTGCTCTTAACCACTGAGCCATCTTTCCAGCCCCAGTTTTTTTGATTTTTATGCCATGCACTTTGATCACATTTACCCCTACCTCAGCCCCACTAAGATTAACTTCCACTTCCCCATCTGTCCAGTTTTGTATCCTTTTTTTTTTTAAATCCAGGTCTCCTATGTGCTGTTCATATATTTTTGGAGCTGTGGTTTTTCCATTGCAGTGCGGGAATTACCAGGGGCCACACCCAAAAAGAAAACTGACCCCCCCCTCTCTTGACAGCAATCAATGCCCCTTCATCTCATTGTCCACCCACCCAAGGAACACTTCCTGTGTGCCTGCCACACGATCAGAGGCATCATGTAGACACATCTAAACGCTGTGCTGCCTTGAACTTGGAAATGGAAGTGAGGTTCTGGACACGCACACGCATGATAAAAGAACATAAAGCAAGTACATACAAGGGGGGTGAAGTAGTTATTGATGGCCGTTTGCAAGCCGGAGAGCCTGGGAACGTTCCGGTCCAGGAAAACACTTCAACAGTCCTGGTCTGGCTGGGAGACTGGATGTGCCCTGAAGAGCGGCTGAAGAAAGTCCAAGAGGCTGGAGTCTGGAAGCAGCAGAGATTACAGCAGCAAAAGCTGCACTTGTTTAGGGGAGAGAGGAACAGATAGAGCCCTGCTCTGACCTGGGCCCCTTCATCTGGGAGGACCAAGGTGTTGCCCGCCCGGAAGCTGTGCCATTGCCCCCCACGTCGATCCTTTCTGGAGATGCGTCCACTTTCACCAGTTCAGATGACCTCCTCAGTTCAGTCAGTGGGAGACCGAGACCAAGCATCACGGATAGCAGAGACAAGATTTACAGACATGTTGGTAGATGACATTTGGAAATGTCTTTCATGGGTCTTTTTCTTGCCGTGGTGTTGACTTTCTTAGGATCCTTTCTCAGGTTCTCTCGTTCCATCCCACACTCTTCCTTCGGCTTTGCCAAATCCTTAGCCGCATCCCCCGTATTTTGTCTAGTCTTGGCAGCCTAAACCATGTCCGTTCTGTGTACCATCCCACAACTCTGTTTGGACCCATCTGCTCCAAGTCTCCGAATTTGGCAGTGGAGGGAGGGCAGGATGGTGCCTGGGAAGAGCCAGGCCCTACTCTGCCAGGGTGGAATGTGGGGTGGATGCAGTCAGCCTAGCCTCTCAGCTGTGCCACCTCCATACAGGCAAGCAGAAGGAAGGAAGGGAAACTTGGTGTGCTTTCTGTGCCGTTGCCAAGGGTCTGCCATAGCTGCTTCCCCACTTCCCCCACCATGCGCTGCTTAGTCCTGGGTCTTCTCCATTTTGCAGACCACCAGGAGAAACAACAAGGCTTGCTGACCCCTGAAACAGGTCTAAGCTGTGGCTGTAATTCTGGGATGAATGGCTATGCCAAACTCTTCTAACCACAGAACAGGGCTGCTTTCTCAAAACAGGCCGTGGCACAGAGCAAGGCCCCCTGCTACCCCCTCCCCCGTAGGACCAGAAAGGGTTAGCTTTAATGAGTGTGTTAGCTGCAATCTGTTTTCGACCTTCAGAACACACTGCAGAGAGTCCTAGGCTTTAATGAGCTGCTCAGTCCGTCAGGAGTTAGACCCTTAGTGACTCATGACACAGACAGCCAATCCCATGGAGAGATAACCCACACCAGAAAGCAAAATAATGACACATCCAGATATGAGCCCCACACAGACATCCACCCGATAAGCCCTAAATAACAAGGGCACAGTCTCGTTGACACCCGGCTTCAATAGAATCCACATATAACTATAGTCCCTAGAACGCCTTTGTGTAGAGAGTGTCTCTCTACTGTCTTGCTCGCTATACTTACGCCAGGGTGTATCTAATAAATTCTATTCCTGTCTTTGTTTTGCCTTGTCTTGAATTCTTTCACCACCCACACATCACTGGCCTGTCACCAGAGTTCCCACACAGCATAACCCATCCAAGACACCAGACAGGCTGATGGGACAAGCCTAAGTGCAATTGGGAGATCTTGGTCAAAAGGACAACCACATTTAACTTCCCTTTCTAGATTAGAAGACAAAGGTAAAACCTAGATAGCAGAGAGGACAGCAAGTACAAGAAATAGTAGTTAGGAGCAGTCATGTTTAGGACACAGCACACCGCCATCAAATGCCACTCTTTGGGACCTAATGCACTTGACAATCAGAGGGGCAAGATTTCTTTAGCTTTCATACTCTTAAAAGCAGGAGACAAGCAGACTGAAGATTTGGTTCAGTGGTTAAGAGCATTGACTGCTCTTGTGGAGGACCCGGGTCCCGTTCCCAGCGTCTCCACATCCGTGTACCACCTGCAACTCCAGTTCCAGGGATCTGGAGCCCTCTTCTGGCCTCTGTGGGCATCAGGCAGGCATGTGGTATACATATGTGCATTCACAACATAAAATAAAAACAAGTACTTCTTAAGTTTAGGAGACAAAGTTCCCACACAAAATGAGCAAGCGCCCTGCTTCCTGTGGAAACCACGCAAAGCCTGCTGTGCTCGCCCGTCTTTTTCCCCTGGTCATTTTCCCACTCCACCCACCACCTGAGGCCAACTCCCTCGCCTTCGTCCTGTTCTCACAGCTGGTAACAGTCTGTCAGTTTTCCCTCTCTGCTCTTCCTTTCCTTATGGATCTCCCTTGCCACATAAGACTCCCATTGCACGCAGCTACATGCTACTGATCATGCGACACAGATTCAATATTTAGGCCCTGCAAAGATCCTAAGAGAACAGAGGCGACAAGCCTGACTCCTGCACAGGGGAGATTTGCTTCAAATATTAGACAACTCCATCACCACTAGGTACTTTTGTGGTTTTTTTTTTTGCCTGTTTTTTGTTTGTTTTTTGTTTTGTCTTCTCATCACAGAAATAAGGAAGACCGTCATATCCCAAGAGGTTTAGCAGCAGCTGGGGTGGAGCTTACTGGCAGGGCATGAGTCTAGCATGTACAAGACTGCATATTCATCCCAAATATACAAGACAAAAACAAACAAACCAGTGGTGTAGGAGGCCCTTCTGTTTGTGTGCTGTTTTCATTGGTTAATGAATAAAGAAACTGCTTTGGGCCTGATAGGGCAGATCTTAGGTAGGCGGAGAAGACAGAACTGAATTCTGGGAGGAAGGAAGCAGAGTCAGAACCGCCATGGAGACGCCAGGCCAGACCTGTTAAATCTTTCCTGATAAACCATAACCTCGTGGTAAACACAGATTAATAGAAATGGGTTAAATCAAGATGTGAGAGTTAGCCAATAAGAGGCTAGAGCTAATGGCCAAGCAGTGTTTTAATTAATACAATTTCTATGTGATTATTTCGGGTGTAAGCTAGCCGGGTGGCCGGAACAAGCCGCCTCTCCTTCAACAAACCAGAAACAAGGAATGGAGGTGGTATCATCTTGGAGGGAAAACGAAAGCTTGGCTTTGGAGATTCTAGATTTGGGTTTAAGTGGAAGTTTTAATGCAAGCAAGGAGGAGGCTAGCAGGGGGTAAGAACTTCATTACAACAGTGCAGAATTCCAGGCACGGCCATACTCTAGAGGGCCTGGCTAAATCCATTCCTGCTATACAGCTGTTCTGCTGTTTGCCTTTTGAAACTTCATCTTTGTTTTTGAGAAAGAGTCTTGCTATGTAGTCCTGGCTGCCCTGGAACTCACGGTGTAGACCAGAGTGACCTTGATTCCTGAGTGCTTGGATTAAAGGCGTGTACCACCACGCCCAGCAACCTTATGACCTTCAAAATGCATTTATGTCATCTATGAGCTCCTTTAAGGCCCATAGAGGGGCACATTTTTACACTTAAAATCCTAGATCATCTGAGACACCCGACTCACTCTAGACTCCAGCAGAGACACCGAAGGGAAGCGAAGCACAGAGGGATTCTAAGGCACGAGTTTCACTTCCTGGATTCACTTTCGCACCCCATAGACTCACCCTCCCCCATAGGCCCTAAGTCTATGTACAAACACTAGCAAGAGAAGCAAGCCACTCTCACTGGCAGTTGCTGACCAGTGTGACCAGGGGCTGGGTACCGGGACGGGGTTACATCAGCAGGGCGGACACAAAGGGAGGACTTTCAGAAGAGCAGAGACTCAGAGGCCACTACTGCCAGGACTGATCACGGCCATTCTTCTCATGCTGGCTCCACAGGACTGCAAAGAGGCCCCAGTTTTGTGCCTCATTAGTTGTGAGGAGGGCCACTCACAAAGAAACTCACATGTCATTAATTCATTGGCCTGTACCTCAGTGACCCAACTGGCACCGACGAGAGGCTTGGTTTACAGGTCAGCTGAAAGAAGCGAGACCCAGACGGTTTTGTGGCACCTGGATCTGGAACGATGAGATTTAAACGCAAGGAGTAATGCATGGGCCCCAAACAGCAGCTGCACCCCTCCATGGACCAGCGCTCACCGCAGGGGCATCCGTGGGCGGGCGGGTAGCTCTTTGTTTTGGCTGACTGTGTTTGGCATGAGTCACTGTTCAGAATGAAGTTGCCAAAGGGGGAAGAGAAAAAGGTAGCAATACAAAACCGCCGTTGCCCTGGATGGCTGAGAACTACGGGCTTGCAGAGGGCTGCCGCCCTAAGGGATCTGAGAAAGCATTCCTCAGGAGGTCCGACCTAGTCACCAGGGAGGGGCGGCCCGCGCTCCTCTGCACTGTCCTGAGCAAATGACCCTAAGGAGTGGCTTGGTGTCTCTCTGTTCTATCCTCCCCAGAGATGGTAAAGGAGGGGACCTGGAGGAGCCTACCATGGAGCTGGTGACCCTCAGCAGGGAAACGGACAGATGAAGAGCCAATGAGTAAAAAATCAAGAGAAGCAAAAGCTGCTGGGAGGATCTAAAGAATCCAGGAAAGCTGGCAGCTGGGCCAGCCACCTCCCGGGGCTCTCACACAGTCCCTGGGCAGTCGTAGAAGTGATGCTTCTCAGTGCTCAGACGACACTGAAGCAGCTGGCCCATGTCGAACACTGCTCAAAAAGTATCTTTTGCATCTCTGGCAGTTTATCAGGGTTTTCCTGTGTAGCCCTTGCTGTCCTGGAACTCACTCTGTAGACACCGATGGCCTTGAACTCAGGGGACCTCCTACCCCCACCACCCGCCTCCCAAGTGCTGGAGTGTTGGGATAAAAGGCATGTGCCATGATATCCAGCACAATCCTCACACATTTGCATCTAAGGTTATAAACTTTCTAAGATCCAGACTGCCCAGCAGAAATCCAGCCTTTCCCTTCCGACCACCTTAGGATTCCTTGTCAGCCCCGCCCTGTCTGTGCTGCACTGCCTGGCATTTTATATAACCCGCTTTCCCTCTGGTCTTCTACGGTTTCCTATATTTTCTCACTACACGCTCAGCAGAACAAGTTTCATAACATATTAAAGAGTGACCTGCTTTTACCAAATGATAGCTGGCTTCCCCACTTCTGAAACAGTCAATACAGACCTAATACTTCCCCCACCCTAAACCCACACTGAGCCCACCATTCCTGTCTATTAGGACTGAGCTACATTTAATTAAACTGCAGCTAGTTACCAATTAATTTTATTTTTCCTCTTATCCCTGAAGTTTCAGACTTCAGAACCTGCTAGGAAAATTACCAGCATTTGGGAATGCATATCAAATGACATGCAAAGTGATGCAAATTAATACCAGGCGTAGATATCTAAACGGTTTGGACAAAGTTTGTAAGCCCCCACTACACTGATGACCTGTCTCACCTGCAGTGGATCCTGTTCCCTTTCTTCTTCTTCCTCCTCCTCCTCTTCTTCCTCCTTTTCCTCCTTCTTCTTCCTCTTCCTCTCCTCTTCTTCCTCACCCTCCTCCTCCTTATTTTTGTACTCTAGACTATTCTGGAACTTTGTAACCCAGCTAGCCATGACTCTTCCTGTCTCAGTCTCCTGAGTACTGGAGCTATAGATAAGTGTACCGTGTCTGGCTTGGATTCTCTTATTACAGCTGTCTCCAGTCACATTCAGTATCTTTACACTGACACGCTGGGGAAAGCACCATGGCTTGGAAACTGTCCAAAGGGATGTAGGCTTTAACTTGCTGCTTGTCGGTTCTGTGGCCTTTGTCATCTCAAACTTCTCCAGGTCTCTGGTTATGTATTTGGAAATGATAGATAAGACGGCATAGGAAGGACATTATCACCATATTTGAATCAGCAGCACAGGGCTTACCGAGTGCTTGCTGTATGCCAGCTACCATACACACGCACGCACACACACACACACACACACACACACACACTGTATGCCAGCTACCACACACACACACACACACGCACGCACGCACGCACACACACACACATACACGGCACACACTACACATGTGTGCTGTAAACATGAAATCCTTGCCAACAGTCCTTGAGGAAGAACAGAGAGCCCTTAGGTGTAGGGTCATTTCAGAGACCAGGACAAGGAGTCACAAAAGCCAGGAAACTTGAGCTAGGGAGCAAGCATGGGCATGACAGAGCCAAGAGGCAAGCTGTCACAGCCTCACCCCAGGGACCTTGTCCCCAATCACAGTACAGCTGTGCTCTGCGGCCACCCTCTGTATTTCTGCCATTATTAAACTTGGGTGATCTACAATGTCAAACTGCAGTCACACTTGCTTCAAAACACTGTTTCTTTAAGGCACTGACTGTTGATAGAGTTTGATTGAACTACCATCACCATAAACCTTTTTTTTTTCCTTGGTATTCCAAGGGAGTAATTCCCACTCTTCTGGGCACCATCTTCTTCCACTGGCTCCATATTCACATTTAAGTGGCTACAAAAAGCCATTCCAGTCGGGTGGTGGAGGTGACGCGCGCCTTTAACCCCAGCACTCGGGAGGCAGAGGCAGGCGAATCTCTGTGAATTCAAGGCCAGCGTGGTTTACAGGAGCTAGTTCCAGGACAGGCTCCGAAACTACAGAGAAACCTTGTCTCAAAAAGCCAAGATAAAAAAAAAAAGTCATTCCTTGGCTTTCTTCTCACCTTGGAAGCAGCCACCAGACCTGGCCACCAGCTCTCTCTAGATGCTGTGCCCTCAGGATTCACTTTTCCACCTCCTGACCTCCACTCCTTCCTCTTCACACCTCATCCTGATTGTGAAGCAGCCACCTTGGAAATATATCCAGATTCCGCTCTATTGGCCACAGGGGCTGCAGGGCTCCTTTCCAGCCTCCAGGACTGAACGTATCCTTCTTCCTGGGACCTGTTGCTCCCTGTTTCCGGAATAGCAGCACCCCAATTTATGAACCCTTTCCACTCACATCCTCCACAGATGTCCTCCGTGACATGGCCCAGTCCACCCACCAAGTCAGCACTACCTCAGTCCTTGCAAGTCATTTGAGCTCAAACAATCCTCCCACTTCAGCCTCCTGGAGGCTGGGCCTGGAGGCACCTCCACCGGGCTGGGTTTGTTTTTAGTCACAAGGGTGTGAGGTTGTTTCGGAGATCCACCTACACTCTGTGGCTGGCCCCACCTTCTACCGCATCTCAGCAGCAGCCTTCTCCACTGTCCCTTCCGGCTCTTGTGGGACTTTACCAGCCCAGACCACTCCTGTTCTCTGCTCGTAGGATACACACTGATCCCTTTACTTCCCCAATTCCCGAGTTTCAACAGTTCCTACTCATCCTTAGCTCACCTTCCATTCCCCAGTAAGGGGCCTGCACCTCCAAAAGATGAGCTATGCCCATCTGTGCCCCACAGCAAGGACCCAGCTCACAGTAAGCAGGCAAGACCTTGGTTTTGTCCAACTGACTTTATGACCCCAATGTTGCTCAGTTTTTTATTGTCTCAAGGCGGTGTTCCTGCCCAAGTCTAAGAAAAATGAGGCTCATTCAGCTTAAAGCACACAATGTAGTGCTAGTGATAAGCCCCAGGAAACCAGGACGTGCCCAACAACAGTGTGTCCTCAGGTCAGAGCTGAGTAGACAGTGTCACACGGAGACTTCCCCGTTCCTTCTGCCTGGAGAATTTGCAGCCTGCCTAGGCAGATGGAACTCACTATCGGGCTAATTTCACCCCTTGCCCTGCCCACCTCTGCA